ATTCATATGTGCTCAAATCAATGATTACCCCATTCATATGTGTTCAAATCAATGATTACGTCATTAACATGCACCCAAATCAATGATTCTGCCTTTCATACGGGCTCTAATCAATCATTATGCCATTCTTACGTACTGAAATCAATGATTACGGCGTTTATACATATGTGCTCAAATCAATGATTATGCCATTCATATGTGCTCAAATCAACGATTATGTTGTTCATATGCCCTTAAATCAATGATTAAGCCATTCATTTGCACTGAAATCAATGATTATGCCGTTCATGCACTCAAATCAATGATTATGCAGTTCATATGCATTCAAATCGATGATAATGGCATTCATATGCGCTCAAATCGATGATTATGCCATTCACATGCATTCAAATCGATGATAATGTCGTTCATATGTGTGCAAATTGATGCTTATGCCATTCATATGCGTTTGAATCAATGATTATGCCATTCACATGTGTTCAAAATTGATGATAATGACATTCATATGTGCTCAAATCAATATTTATGCCATTCGTATGCACTGAAATCAAGGATTATGTCGTTTATATGCACTCAAATCGCTGATTATGCATTCATATGCACTGAAATAATGATTATGCTGTTCATATGTGCTCTAAAATCAGTGATTATGCCATTCATATGGACTGAAATCAATGATTATGATGCTTATATGCGCTCAAATAGATGATTATGCCATTCATATGCACTCAAATCAATGATTATGATGTTTATATGCATTCAAATTGATGATCAATGATTAAAGAACTCATATGTGCTCAAAACAATGATTACAATGATCGGATGAGGGCATAAAGTGCATTTCTCATGAGTGCCACAGCTCAATATACCTGAAACACCACTGCCAATACTACAGCTCTGATATTATTTGGTGTATAATATAACTTTATATTTTCAGATATCTCTCATGAATTAAATCCCTGTTAATTAAAACATAAAATGATTAATGAGTTCCCGCTCACTGTACACACCTCAAAGTTAATTAACATGTTTAAAGATTAAAAAACACTAAACTGCTCCCATCTAATTCGCATGTTAATGAACAACAAAGAGGGTACCGTTAATTCTGCATATGTGAGGCTCCCTGATCGACCCTGTTAATTAAACAGAACTTTAGTGAATTAATAAACTGATTTATTTAAAAGTGGGTTATTCATTCAGTGGCAAGATAAATTTAACTCTCAATTGACTGTGAAAAAATCCATAAAATAAGCCATTTGCATGTATCACTAACTTTTGAGTTAGAGCTGAATTAGAAAATCATCCATTCATGACCTAGTTTTTGACATTTCGCATTTGATGGAGTCATATAATTATCAGTACTTCATGCATTAATATTAAGTAGATAATTTATGGTCCATTTCAGCTCTCAGTCAAACACGGCTCTTGGGTTCTGTATGATTTCTTGGGCCCAAAACCAAGCATGTTTGCAAACAATTAGCGCTGTTTGTTAAGTCAAGCATTATTATTATTACTATTGCTCATAGACATAGTTAGGGATTTGAACAAACCCCTGAAACTAAGCAACTCTGGTGCGTATCCCATCCCACACTGGTTGAGCTACAGACATAAATGAGATCTTAATGCAGTTTTTCAATCTAAGTGATCAGATTTATTATTTTTCGCCAAGAGGATGATAAAATTAGTGAAAAAAAAAATCCTGTAGATATGGACCACAGTGTTACAGGGTTTAACAGTTGGATTTGGGAAGTGAAAACTCCAATCATTTTCTCCATAGGGAAATTGATTTTTAACAATAACTTATATATAATAACTTGTTAATCAAATGTATATGCTTTCTGAAGCCTTTCTGTTTGCATTATTTCAAACTTTTTCAAAATAACCATTTTTAACATCTGAATTTGTGGTGAAAAACGTCGCAGGTTACTTATGTAACCATGGTTCCCTGAGTAAGGAACGAGACACTGCGTCCTCTAGGGGTCGCTATGGCGGAACGCCTCGTCGTGACCCGTGTCTGAAGCAT